TGACGACGTCGATTCGAGTCCGGAACTTCCAGAAGACCTTCTACACTTAAGAGAGAGATACATTTCTCTAATTTGTTTTCAAATAGAGATATAGATGCCAAACCCATTCAAATACTGAATAAAATTGTAGAACTCAAGCTTGTAATGCTTTTTTTCTAACTTGATGGTTGCTCTAAGGATCTCTTGTACCATTCCCGTGAATGTTATTCCAGAAGGAAAACGGTCATTTGGCACTTTGGCAAGAATAAAGAATATATTCTTGGATCAATAATGCATCAAGAGCGGCTAACATGTCTGGGTACTCTAGCAATAGAGAGTGATTTAGCTCGAAGAAGTAATTTTGACCAAATTATCGATAACTTTGCCAATATATACGAAGGCTCAAAAAGTGAGATTATATATTTGATACTGAAATAGGTACAAAATAGTGGAAGTTATTATCCCCGTTTTTGAAAGTTTATTTTTTCAAATATATCGCCAGGTACATTATGTCAATATATTTATTTCTTTCTGATTGTTTTTATATTTTTTTGTTACCTCATTGTTTTGTTAATTTTTTTGAATTTTATGAATCTCTTCGTTTCAACAATATAAACATTATCGATTCCTTTCGATCGTTTCATTACGTCCCACAAATGTGGCCCTGCATGAGCAGAGTAAGAAACGGAAAGGAAACATATACATTAGGCGTTTTCGGAAACCTACTCGGGTTGACTCGATCCCTAACCTGCACATTCGTTTACCTAACCCGAGTAACATACCCATGTTCGGAAACTTCGGTGTTACTTACTCGATCACTAACTCGGGTTCATGTTTCGCAACCTTGCTTCAAAGCAGGGTCAGCCAGAGTTACTACCTTAGATCATACACTTACTACCACAGAACTACTCACGATTCATGTATTTCTAAGGTCACTTCAGATATTATTTGATTTCATCAATTGAACAAGAAGTGAATTATGTTGAATAGCATTAGTTTGATGATGAAAATACACCAACATCATGAGCAGAAGCAATATTCATCATTTCTAGAACAATAACAACGTGTATCTTTTAAGAGTTCAGTGGTATGTTTTTAAAGATATGGAGAAATTGATCCGAAAATATTGATATCTCATAGCAAACTGAAAAAATTGCATACGTGAGAAATCAAGAAGTTCTATTCGAAGAGGTATAAAGCTAACTCAATAAAATAGTAACCTGATAAGTTCGTAAACTATATAATATTAGGATAAGTGATCCGACTGATCCATCACGTGACCCGTTCAGATCGAGTCAACAACCCAGAGTAAGTTTCAGAAAACGCCTATTGAGTGCAGAAACACTCCACCAGTTCCTGCCATTCCGAAAAATAAGCCAATAACATCACCGTGTCCAAGAAAGAACTGCAACTCCTTTTATATCTTTCGTTCCATACTTCGCGATTACGTTAATTACAAATTCGCAATTTTTTCAAAATCAAATCAGAATTACTCATAGACTGACATGCAGACACTTGATTACTTCAAAAGAATGATAAAGATGCCTACAAAAAGAAGCCTGCAACGCAGGTGCACCTTTTAGACTTTCCCGAGAGCCTTAAGTTCTCGAACTATGTCCAAACCTCGTAGAATAACTTGAAATTATTTATAATAGTTATTTGTTTAACTAGGCAGCAAAGTAGTAGATTGACTGCCGAGGCTGAATTCATAGCCCGAGCGTAGCAAGGCTAGGAATCCAGCTAAGGCAGTCAATCTACTTTGCTGCCAAGTTGAACATATGATTTTTTCTCCGATTGTTCAGAATGATATAGGAGGATATTGTAATTGCAAATTATTACAATTCCCACAATCTCTTTATTTTCCCTGTAGTGTTCAATTAAAATGAAATTTGATAGAAATCGCAGTTGTCCATGATAATTATAGTTTGACAATTCATGAAAATTCTGACAGTTGTCCGAAAAAATATCGGTATATATATTCAAATTATTATATAATGGACAGTGATAGCGACCTGGAAGTACTTACACCTCCAGAAATAAGGGAGGTGGCAAAAAATATAGAGTTGAATTTGTTGCCGGAGAAGTCTCGGATGAAATATGAAGGAAATTATAAACGATTTATGGATTACTAATTTTGCTGATATATATCAATCAGCAAAGTAACCACTTTGCTGCCTAGGCAGGAAAAGTAATACTTTGCTGATTGATATGTGTCAGCAAAATTAATATTTGCTGCCGATCGGAGAAAAAAATACCAACCATCGAGAAGTTAAAATTATCGGCACATCTACAGCGCTACCTAGGGAGTGTTGCTTGCGGCTCTCTGCTAGAAACGGCATAGTCCTTCTACTCACTAACTTTATAATTTTATTCACTACATATGCTCTAAATTTGTTATTATTGAACATGTTGTATTTGATAAAATTTTTGTCCGAATGTTTTTAGTTAAATTTCAGCATTTTATTTTACTTTGAAGTGGTTATTATATACATATATACTTTTGATGGGTAAAATGAATCATTCTAATTTCTATGAAAGTGGGGTTTATATTTCGAGATTGGATATTTTTCAAGTTGCATCTTGCTATACTATATAAATGAATTATCAATACTTGCAATTTTGAAATGCGAGTTTTCACGCATTTTCAATGCCTGATTCATTTTACCCCAGATTGGTGGGTAAAGTGGATAAAATTTTATGAAAAAGAAGGGAGGCATTGCCCTTGATTTTTTTAAATTATTTTCGTCTTGACATTCGAAAATGGTGCCAGGACCTACATTATTTTTTGTATTCTTTTTTTCTCAATACTTTTTGAAAAAACGCGTTTTTTTATTCACTTAATCCCGTTTGACGGTATATTATATTTGCTGTCAATGGGGGCCAACATCTTCAGTATCACCAGTTGGCGCTACTAAAACTTGAGGCCAAAATTGAAAATCTCAAAATTTTGCCGGATAGAAAGGATGTGGCGTGTTTTATCGGAAATATTCGAAAAAATAGAAGATGGTTTCATTAGAATCAAAAGTGGCACCTTGTTTGACAAGCCAATTTTGCAGCGGAGCGTCTAATCGAATCCGAGTGTCTTTCACGGCGGTGGCTCGCGTTCAAATCCCTGCAAGAAGTCAATTTTTTTTTCATTCTTGTCAAGTAATTTTTCTAAGAACTTACTTTTCAGCAAAATGATCATTTAGGACGGGTTCGGTTCAAAGAAGTCGCCTCTTTCATGCAGAAACGATATTATCCATCCTCATACTTATAACCTCTTCTGCTGTTTTGTTTGAAAAATAATAAACTACAGAAAAAAGGTTCATTCAGGCTCAGTTAAGTGAAAAGTAGTCCCTTATCATGCAGAAACGATATTTTTTTCCTTATAGTACCTTCTGATAACCTTAAAATTTTTCGCAGCACGGAAACATGCTAATAATTGAATGACTGGCGAGAGACTAGAGAGTTGAAGTAATCACTGTACGTAGACCTCCACGTCCAAGTCCACGTCGACGTTAACGTACGAAAAATAACGTTTACGTATTGTCGTTAAATTGAGTTGAAGTCGCCACTTTGTTCGTCACTGTCATCATAACGTAATAATACATTTTGTTTTCGGTTTGTATTGGTCATTTTTGGTTGTGTGTTTAGATTCGAACATTTATTCCTGTCAAAATTAGAGGACTCCTTGATGCAGAACTCGTTGGTGATCTTGAATTTGATAATTTTGACTCGTCGGCATATTTCGAGTATCGTTTGGTACGTTGATACTTGATATTTAAGGTATACGTGAAGAAACAAACGTGAAATAACGTTTTGTATCACTGAACTGTTGATAATTCACTGATTTGTATACGCAATGGCGGCTAAATATCTAGACTGTCTGACGGGTTATCGACATTCAGGGATTCAAGCAGCCTACTTGATATTTAGCCGTCATTGACGCAAATATAGGCGGGCAAAGGCTGTGTCAAGTCAAGGCAAGGATCATTCCTTGGAGTGGAAATCTTGGAGTCAAGTTAGTCATTCAACTACAGTGATGATACCAAAATGGCCAATGTTTGACTCGACTCCCATACAAATTAACGTGGTAACTTTGTGGGCAGGTTTGAAAAGTGACCGAAATTCCCAAACAGCTGGTTGGTCAGACTTCAAGTTAGCCAAAACTAGACGAACTAGACTGTAGACATGGCCCAAGGATTATACTCTCCTTTACGAAAGCGTAGAAGGGTCATCAAAAATAAAAAAATAAAAGGAACGCAATAATTCAAAATACTGCAACATACAACTTGCAGTAATTGAATTACTGCAAGTTACAACTCGCAGTAATTTGAATCACTGCAACATATAACTAGCAGTAATTCGTCCGAAGCTTGGATTGCATCCACCTTGTTTTGATATTGGACTGTATAGAAGAAAATATTTAACAGATTTTACTGAAGTAATTCAGTTCCTTTCGTACTATATAATACTGGTTAGAAGAGGGTTAGAATTACTGCGAGTTGTAAGTTGTGATTCGAATTGCTGCTAATTGTATGTTGCATTATTTCGAATTACTGCTAGTTATAAGGTGCAGTGATTCAAATTACTGCAAGTTGCATCTTTCAGTATTTCGAATTACTGCAAGTTGTTAGTTGCAGAAATTCAATTCCTGCAAGTTGTATGTTACAGTATTTTGAATTATTGCAAGTTGTTAGTTGCAGTAATTGAATTACTGCACGTTACAAGTTGCAATAATTAGATTTTTTATTTTCGATGACCCTTCTACTCTTTCGTACTCCTTGGACACGGCCATGGTGGGACGGGACACGGCCAATGACCTTCTCGGCATTCTGACGCATGTCACAATTTGATAAAACAAAAAGTTTTGTTGTTTCATGTTTTCATTTACTAATGATCTCTGAAAAGAAAACAAAAACAACACAACAGAAATACTATCCAAAATAAGAAATAAATTTGAAGATAAAAGATAAAAACCATTAAAAACAGTTTACGAGGAATTGGTGAGAAGTCGATTTGTATTGATCCGACGTGAAATGAAATTACTTGAGCAGTATAAAGATTCTATAGCACTTGCAAAGAATCAAAATATTATCACTGATACCTCATTCAAAAAAGCATTGGATAATTGTTTTTCTGTCCTGGCAGAAAGAGATAAAATACATGGTAAGAATTCGGAGAAATGAGAAACAATCACTATTTTAACTAACACAAAATAATATATCAAAAGGTGTTCATAATATAGTAGCTACAGTCGTCTTCAGAAAACATGTCATGGTTGCAGCAGTGATTTAGAGAGCACACACCATCCATGTGTGCCATGTTCACTGAAGACAATTGTACATATCACATTTCCATGACCTCTCATTGATTTATTCAAGATCATGAACAACTCTAGGGATGAAAATGTGAAGAATGTAGGAAACATTATTGTTTATATTATAATCCTGCATGATCCATTGAAATTCTTCAGGCACTCATACCTTTGATTCAAAGCCAGACATTACCAAAGAATTCTATGCAGCACTACTTTCTGTGACCACTGAATTTGTAAGAAGAGCATATTGTAAAGAAGACATTCAGCAATACCTAAGTGATGATTGTGGATTATCCTCATCCAGAGTAGAAATGTTTCTACATGATTTTTACAAACATAGGTTGGGCATTGAAATGTCCTTGCTGAACATTGGTGACTCCCTACCACACATTACTGATGTTAAATGGAAAATTGATTATATTATGAAGGTAGACATGATATTGTACACCTATCTGAAAACCATAATATTTGAGCTGAAATGTTTATATATAAGTCTCTAGGTGTCTCAATTTGAGCTGTGCAATTTCTTTGTGAATGGTGAGGCATGTCAACAAAGATTTTATTTTTCAGTCAAGTACAATGGATTCCTCTGAAGGCCCATTGTTCAGGATATGTCTTGTCACAGACAAGTATGATCCAGAAACAGAGACAAAAAAGATGTCTACTATAAATTTCACTTGCACATCTCAGGAACTACAAGATTTAGTTTATAAGCTGAAAGACTCTGTGAGACATTGTAGTACTGTAACAAGTAGAATTTTGTGATTATAATGTACTAATCTGGTAACCAATATCAATTATTCTGGTAAATAAGTAAACAGAAGTTGAGGAAAATTCCAGCATTAAAAGTTCTGATCATATTAGAAAACCTGTACCTTCTAAGTTGGTAGGATTGTGATCTGTGATCCTAAAGGATTACTAAATAAAAAACAATATTGTACTTAAAGCATTTTGTGTAAATTACCCTGTAGTAATCAATCAATAACAATGTCTTTACATTGGAATACATTAAAACAATCATTCAATGAATATAATAAATATTAGATGAGAATGAATGGCAATTAACATGTAGGTATGTGAAATTTCTTTACTACAGCATACTGAATGGTAAATATGGTATTGTGAATAAAGAAGAAGAGGGATCAACATGGAATAAGATCCAATTAAGGAAGGTCTTTCTTGAAGAGTATTTGGTTTTTTCTTTGAATTCCCCAATGACTTCATCAAATGCAGCTCCCTAAAAGGTCTGAACAAAATCTCAGCACATATTCTTGAGGTCAAAATGAGCCGATTTGAAGCAACTTACCTCAGTCCGAAATTGCTCCGTTTCCGAAATACAGGGTGGTAAAGTTGAAAAATAAAAATAGAATTTTTCGAAATGTATGAATATTTTTGAACATATATCAATTTAAAAATTGGTAGCCGGGGGCTTTTTGGGATGCGAAACGGAGCAATTTCGGTAAGATTGCTTTGAATCCGCTTATTTTGACCTCAGGACTATGTACAAACTTTTTTGGAGACCCCCCTCTATACATTATATTCTTACCATATTTGGACTGGTATGAGTAATCATCAATGTCAGTTTTACAGACACATAATTTTGGATAGTGCCGTGCATTTTATTAAAATGAAAAGGAGTATTTTTTATGAAATCATGTTGTTTTATATACAGTACCTTTGCATGGTGCAAATGAAAGGAATACATTTATTCCTAGCCAAACTGTCCATTTCTGAGAAAACTCCTGACACAGGTCGATTTTTGTTTTCAATTTTCCACATTTATAAGTGGAATTCGAATATACAGGGTGATCCCCGTTTGACTATTGATACGTCCGCGACAATTTCCTCAAATAGAACACCCTATATAGTATTCGATTTTTGGGATCTTGATGAAAAGCGGAGTTCAAATATTTTGTTATTTATGCAACATTCGCCCAAGGGATGAATGCTGCCCGATGTAGTGCATACAAGATTTTTTTTACAGGAGAAAATTATCATATTCTGATGAAAAATCGATTTTTTCTCCGATTGGCAGCAAATATTAATTTTGCTGACACATATCAAACAGCAAAGTATTACTTTTCCTGCCTAGGCAGCAAAGTGGTTACTTTGCTGATTGATATGTATCAGCAAAATTAATAATCCATAAATCGTTTATAATTTCCTTCATATTTCATTCGAGACTTCTCCGGCAACAAATTCAACTCTATTTTTTTTGCCACCTCCCTTATTTCTGGAGGTGTAAGTACTTCCAGGTCGCTATCACTGTCTATTATATAATAATTTAAATATACCGATATTTTTTCGCACAACTGTCAGAATTTTCATTAATTGTCAAACTATAGATAGATATAGATAGATTTTATTTCCCAAAAGATACAGATTTGTAATGTATCTGCAGATAACAGGTATACCTATACAGACACATAATATTAAGAAGTATAACAGTGAAATTATTATATCTCCGTGTATCTTTATCGCATAGAGCTTAGGGAAAATGGCTAGACAAGTCGCATGCAATATAAGTTATCTATGTGATATATCATGGACAACTGCGATTTCTATCAAATTTCATTTTAATTGAACACTACAGGAAAAATGAAGAGATTGTGGGAATTGTAATAATTTGCAATTACAATATCCTCCTATGTCATTATGAACAATCGGAGAAAAAATTATATGTTCAACTCGGCAGCAAAGTACTACTTTGCTGCCTAGTTAAACAAATAACTATTTTCTACAACCGCGCTCATAAGCGGAAATATCTTAAAAACGCTCGCACATCGATGTAACCTATACTTATCTATTCTTGAAAACCTCCAATTCTTTCATGAAGGAAAATAGTGACAGTGAACTATCAAACATACCTCCTGATATAGCAGAAAGTGCAAAAGTTTGAATCTTTTACCGCAGAAATCAAGGAAGAAATATGAATTACAATATGATACATGCATAAAATGTTGCAACTCCAAGAAGGTGAATAAGTATTCAGAAAACGTTTTACTGGCTTATTTTGGTGAAAAAAAGACTTTGAAGTCATCAACTCTTTGGTCTATATATTCGATGATACGTATACATGCTTGAATGTTGAAAATAATATCGAAATCAATAAGTATCCGAAACTCATCGCATATCTCAAGAAACAATCTATTGGATATAAAGCAGAAAATCTAGAACATTCACCGCAGAAGATATATACCAACAAATTTCTACAAGCTCTCGATGAAGAATATCTGTAAATGAAGGTAAATTATACTTTATATCTATCTATCTATCTATCTATCTATTTATATATCTGAAAAACAGTGTATCTTTATTTTATTGCATCAATGAGTTATGTTCAATTTGATTGCATAGTTTATTGTACTATGGCCCAGAATTCTGAAGCGCAGGTTGCCACGCTGGTGGCCTGAGTTCAATTATCGGTTGGCCCGACATTTTTTTTTCTGACTTGTCAGTTATTTTGAGTTTTTTTTTTGGTTTTGTTGGACATATGGGATAATAATAATAATAATAATCCTCCAAAGATTACCGCGCTCTGCTCCGCATCGCGCGGGAACTTTCTTTGTCGAGCGACAATCCATATCACTTTGCGCTCTAAATACACAAATAGATATTAAAAAGCGGTTCATTGCACTTTCTTTCCATTTTTCTTCTCATGGTAGGCATAGCATTTGTTGATATTTTGACGTTTGTTGAATATTGCTGTCATCATTTAATTTAGTGAATACGTCATTTGAATACCTAATAAAAATACTCTACATGCGGAATCTTATATGCTATCATTAATATCAAAACTTTCTACGAGAAAAATTAGGAATACATAATGTTGGTCGTTTCATCGATTTCCTTATATTTATATTGTTTAATATTTCAATATTGTTAATTTTATATAAAGTTAGTTTTCCCGCAAAAAAAATCTCAATAAGATAAGGAAAATCGACCTGTTTTTATTTCATTAAAAAAGCACGGCACTGACCAAATAAAGGATATTGGTCTCTGAAAAACTGATCATATTGATGGTAATTCATACCGGTCCAAATTTGGTAAGAATCGCACGACTGATAGCTGAAATATAGAGGAGGGGCCGTTTAAAGTGAGACGCTCTATATATCATGGGAGCAATAGTTATTTATTATACAAGGGAAAAAAGTAGTAGATTTTAGCCTCTTGAATCATCGATTTGGCAGCGGTTCCACAGAGGTCCTTAGAAAATAATGTTTTTTCCGCAGAGAAAATAAGGAAAATAATTCACTTTTTGCAATTAGTTACTCTGAGATCACGGCAGGCGGCCTTCCACAGTCACTCCAAATACACCAGGCAGTTGGTGCTGTAGACGCTGCCGAGAGTGAACAGCATGGGCACCTCCACTATGACCGTGGGCAGGTTGCGACGGGCAGCCTCCCACAGTCACTCAAATACACCAGGCAGTTGGTGCCATAGACAAACCAAAAATTGCTGTAGACGCTGCCGAGTGAACAGTATGGGCACCTCCACTATGACCGTGGGCAGGTTGCGACGGGCAGCCTCCCACAGTCACTCAAATACACCAGGCAGTTGGTGCCATAGACAAACCAAAAATTGCTGTAGACGCTGCCGAGTGAACAGTATGGGCACCTCCACTATGACCGTGGGCAGGTTGCGACGGGCAGCCTCACACAGTCACTCCAAATACACCAGGCAGTTGGTGCTGTAGACGCTGCCGAGGGTGAACAGCATGGGCACCTCCACTATGACCGTGGGCAGGTTGCGGCGGGCGGCCTCGGAGTTCGAGAGCCCGCCCCCGCTCGTCTTGCGCAACTTTCTCGCGCGCGGGCCCTGTCCGGGCGGCAGGAACTGCGGCTTGCGCGAGTAGTGCAGGTCGAAGGCGTGGAGCAGCTCAGGGCGTCATAAGTCTGGGAATCTGGAACATGCGGATTCTCAATGTATTTCTTTATAAACATATGTATCTTTTTTTCATATTCATAATAAACAGGGTGTTTGGTTCACAGACGTATACCGGGTGACACAGGAGACATGTAGCAGCCTGCAGTTACTTTAGTTGGAGAGATAAGAATTTGAATTTCACAAGGGTTATATTATCGATGATGTCGCTTCCCTTGAACCTTATGACAATTTTCTTCAACCACCTGTTTGATTGATAAATAGACCCAAATTTTTTTTTCAAAGATAACCCTGTATATTTCTGTAACCTATCTTATTTGCCATAAAACTCTCTATTCAACTATGTATCACAATTTGATATGCGCTCATTAATTGGCTGTTAAATTGCATTTTATTGACATACATGAAGTTGGTTGTGGCTCGAATACAATGACATTTCGATACTTGATGGATGATCATATTATGGCTACGTGGCAAAAATAAAAGACAAATATTTTCCTCACAAGTAGCCAAATGAAAAAAAAAACTTAGTTTCTATCTTAGTTTCCTGAATACCGTGAGTTATTTTCCGATGATTTTTTTAAACTCAATGAAATTATTGGCTATCTTCTGGGACCGATTAGGGTATGGAAAATAATCTGATGAATTCGTCTAAGTAATGATCTTTGGATTCCTAAGGCAATCAAGCATCGAAATTTCATTGTATTCGGGCCACAGCCAACTTCATGTATTTCAATTAAATGCAATTTAACAGCCAATTATCTCCTGTGTCACCCGGTATATGAAAGGGCGTGATTTCAAGAACATTTTGAACATATTTTACCATATTCATATAATAATAATGATAAATCTTTATTACTTCCATAAACTATAAAACTATT